CCCCAATCCCTTGGCCCAAGCAGGACTCAGCTGTTACTGGAGTGGACACCATGTGTATTTACCTCCATGAGTGGACAAAGAGTGCACTGAGGGCTGGCAGTGGAAGCAGTAAGCTTGAATCAATTAATGAAAAGAATAGGGAGCAAAAGAAGAAAGCTGGCTAAGGAGTAGCCCTGGAGAACACTGCATTTAAGGAGGTGGGAGATCTGAATCCCCACATGGACAGAAAAAGATGTTTTCAAGAAAGCAAATGAAACCCAGGGAAGAGTGCTGACATCAAAAGCAAGAGGTACAATTGAAGAAGTTATCAAGAGTATCCAACTTTCAAGTGTCTTTGCATGTCCTTATTCTGTGTTCCTCCTTCCCCATGGCTGAAAAGGATGAAACAAGCACCAGAATGGATGTGGTTTGCGCCTACCGCCCACATCCCACAGGCTGGACAGAGAACAGCTATACTGGCAGCTAAGCTGGCAGACCCATGGTGTCCCCTGACTGAGCCCCTACATACTGGACAGGAACAGTGTTTATGTCAATGATGAGTAACTCTGGTGCAGCTGCAGTCTCCTCCTGCTCCCCAGTTGGGTTTCCTTGCAGTACAATTTCTGTGTACCCATGTACATAGTTCTGGGCCAACCTAGAATTTCCATGGGAACTCAGTTCTCTCCCCTCAGAACACCTAAAAAGCACCTTTCAAGTTCTGGACATAAAGGTTTCCTCCATAGTCTTTATTTCACTGACCATTCGCAGAAGCCCCAATGTAGCATGCAGACATCAGGGAAGGTAGAGGGTAACGTAAGCCCATGGTGTCCGCTGGGGTTAACTCTTCCCCAAGAGGCAGCGGATTTCCAATGCAGTGACTGATCCACTTCTTTCTCCTCCTTATGGCAGTTTGTGGCTCTTTACTCATTCTCCAAGAGCCAGCTGGAACTACACCCCACCTGAAAAACAAACAGCAAAGATGTTAGTAATGTTTTTAATGATAAATTCATTTGCAGCAATGCTCTTAGCAACAATACCCACAATAACGCCTATACTAAAGGCTAATATTTATTGGGGGATTCCTATGATCCAGAACATTAGATGTATTATGTCTCACTAATCCTGCCAACCTCTATGAGGTATTATGTATATTTTACAGATGAGCAAACAAGGCTCAGGGAGGGAAATCCATTTTCCTGAGATCAGACAGCTAATACACATAGTACAGTCGAGACTCAGACCCTAAATTGACTCTAAAATCTAGGCCCCCTAACTACTAGGCTTCACTACAGACTAACCCAGCAAGAACAAGCCTTAAATCTCAGGATGGGAAATTATATCAAGGGGCCTCTGATATAACAATTTAAACTAAAGCTTCGTTAATTATATCTCCACTCTATCACCTTGGACATTTTCTTTCTTTCTGGATTAAAACCTATTTTGTATTTCAGTGGTCCTTGGGGATTACTTAAAAGCAGTAGTTAGCAGTGTGGGTTTTGGTGAATTACAGGTCTTGCTTTAAGCCCTGGTCCTGCCTTTTGTATACTATGTGGCCCTGAGCAAGCCATGCAACCTGTCTAGGCTTCACTATCCATATTCAGAATGGAATTAAAGAAACATGTCGCCTAAGATTAACGTGAAGGTCAGATGAGTTAAAACCCGAATAACCCATGCAAGTCATGGGGTTCCACTTGGTCTAGTCTCAGAGAGGAGTTTCATTTCAAGAAACCTAGTCAGACCATCAAAGATAAAATAAGTCTAAGTTTTACTCGTATTACTTAACAGAACATCAAAGAGGATCCAGTCCATGATCCAGAAGCATATTATACAAATCCTTTTTTCCCTATTTTCTCTTATTTTCCAACTTTATACTCTGGTTGACCCTCAAGTCTCTCCCCTCTCCAAGCCCCTCTCTCTCTCTCTTTCTCTCTCTCCCCCCACCCTCCTCATTATCTCAATTCAACATTACTGAAGTCCAAGAACTATGCTGTCACAGATGAAGTTGTCTTTGGAAAGTTGGGTATGGGGAGAAACTCAGAGCAAAGACAAAATTATAGTTAACGGATGAAGAAAACACAGGTAAGACTGGAAGCACTCACATAAAATTGTTGTCTCTGTTATTCATTTGATGAGGTTGATACTATTCCAGGAACCTAGTAAACCCCAGAAGATTGAAGGTGCTTTGATTATTATTGTCTTTGTGGTTAATGGTAGTGAGCATAAAATTATCATGAGCATTAGAGTATGAGGCAGTTAACTCATATGGAGGAGCTGTCATTATTTATTGATGAATCACAGAGAAACACAGGGAAGATCTGTGAGCTTCTGTTTCTAGTTCTACCTGTCACTCTAAGCTTAACTTCTTCCCATCATCTTACTCTTCCTCTCTGACTCTCTCTCTGCAGGTTATAACTGTTGGTATTGGATGCCCACCACTAACAGTGAGTAATGAAGGTGGATGTCCCTGTGCCCCTTGGACCCTTTCTCCCTGTGCCTGCTCCCTGGGAGGAAAGTGTCCCCTATCCCCCAAGTTCACAGCCCCAGAGAAGCCCCAGACCACCCAAGCTTCAGGTTAAGCCAACGTGGAGATGGAAGTGCCCATTAACAGCTCTGTCCTCTTATGGCTTCGTGATAGGGCCCAACGATATTTGTTCATGTTGTATTTTCTTTCAACTCTAGTGATCTCCACATTCTCTCCAGGATCCCCAGCATCTCTGACCCCCACCTCCATCTCTACAGGTAGGAATCTAATCTCTGAGTCCCATGGAATTTCAACTCCCATTCAGTGACTGATGAGTTTCTGCATGGTCTGGCCCCGATGCCCACCAGGCCTAAGCTTGTCCCACTGTCTACCTTGCTCCCTAATCTCTGGCCATCCCCGCCTCATTTCTGTTCCTCCAGGGCCCAAACGTCCCTCCATCCTCAGGGCTTTTGCACTTACTCTTCTTGGAACTCAGCTGTGCCTGGTTCCTTCTTGTCCTCCAGATCTCAGCTCAGCATGCTTTTGCTCAGAAAACCTGCTATAAAGTAGCCTTTCCTCATCTCCCACACAAAGCTAGTCTCTATTCTATCTCCATGATCATTTCCTTCATGGCAATTACTACTATTTGCACTTCTTAACTACTCAGGTATTTGTGCTTCAAGGCCTGAGTACAAAAGGTCTTGGCCCCTTCGCTTCCCTCCACAATGTCCATGACGTGTCAGCCCTTGGACACTTTGGAATGAGAGGGTTGAGGTTCCCTTTCAAGCTGACTTCACACATCTAACATGGAGGTCCCTTCTCCTGCCCTGGCTGGCAGACGAGAGAGGGTATCCCAGATGGGCTATCTCAGGCCTCACCTACTGGACACTGTGGACAGAGAGATGACACTGATCCCTTCCCCCAATAGACAGCTCAGAACTGAGGTTGTGATGGGTCTCCTCTCTCTTTCCCTCCAGCTGCAGCTGTGGGCCCAGCCCTGATGCTGTTCACCCTCAGTTTCATCATCGCCAACCTACTCTACACCCCAGATATGAGGCATCCAGGCTCCACAAAGTCCAGCTCCATTGAGAAGGCCCTGAATTGCCTGGTAAGAGCCTGTCCATACCTACCCTGGCATGCCTTGTCCTTGTCCCTTCAGCCCCTCCTGCTCACCTCTCTCTCCTTCCTCCCCAGCTTGGTCCTTTCTTCAAGAACACCAGTGTTGGCCCACTGTACTGTGGTTGCAGACTGACCTCGCTCAGGTAAGACTTCCTTCCCTCGCAACATGAAGGGCTGCATGGTCACAGGCAAGTTAACCTGGAGGGGAGGACCTGAACATGACATCTAGAAGGGAAGAATCATAAATGACTTAATCATAAATGGAGACCAGTGAGATATTGGACTGGACCTGGATATTGCTTGGATGGGGGGACAAAAGATGGAGGAAGGTCCAGTAAGCCTCCTACATCTCTGGCTCTGGCACTGATATGGAAACATGAGAGGAGGAGCAGGTTCTGTGTTTTTCGGGGAGAAGAAGATAAGCTTAATTTGGGATATATGGAATCTGATAGGTCTGAAGGAATCCCTGAGGTTGTTGGTTACATGGCACAGATTTCAAGAGAGAGATCTTGGCCAGAGAGAGTGAGATTGAACCTCATGATAATAAAGCTGGTAGATGAAACAATGAGTATGAATCAGATGACCCAAGAAGAATGAGGGGCAAAAGGATAGAAGTTGGCAGAGGATGAAGCCTTGGAGATCAACCACTTTATGGAGTAGGAAGGTACCTAGATGAAGAGGACCCAGAAAAGAATGTGCCTGAGAACCCAGACAAGACCCAGTAAAGAGAAATGTCATAAACCAAGGCTGGGGGTCCATTTGAAGGAGGGAACTGAACAAAGTATATAACTCTCCCACATCTGTGTATGCCCCTATTCCCATGTCCCTGCCACCCTAGGACTCAGAAAGATGAGGCAGCAATTGGAGTGGGTGCCATCTGCACCTACAATCCTGACCTCCTGGGTCTTGAGCTGGATAGAGAAGAATTGTTCTAGGAGCAGAGTCAGCTGACCCATGGTGTCACCTGATTGGGCACCTACACCCTGCACAGAGACAGTCTGTATGTCATTGGGGAGTGTCCATGCTGCAGCTGGGGTCTCCTACAGTCACATGTCTCTCTATATCAGTAGTGCTCAATAGGGGCAATTCTGCTCTCCAGGGGAACTTTGGCAGTGTCTGGAGACATTTCCATGTCATGACTGGAGGAGTGCTAATGAAGTCTAGTGGGTAGAGGCCAGGGATGCTGTTAAACATCCCACAGTGCACAAGGCAGCCCCTCACTATGAAGAATTATCTGGACCAAAATGTGAATAATGTTGAGTTTGAGAAATTGCTGTACATAGATTGATAGTTCTGGTACAAACCTAGCACTTCCTTGGGGGCTCATTTTTGAATACTTAAGACACCATGGGAGGCCAATTGCCTTTCCCTTTTCACCTCCTGGGATGAAATGTTTCCTCTTCCTTATTCCTGCCTCTTCCTATAGGAGCTCAGTTGGAGCATGCAGACTTTACGGAAAGAGGAGGGTGATGCAGGCGTTGCAGTTAAGTCTTCCCGATGGGCAGTGGGTGCCCAGTTTAGTCCTCACTCCACTTCATTCTCTCCATCATGACAACTTAAGGCAATTTTCTAAGTTTCCTCAGGCTAGTCGGAATGACACTGACTACATGAAACACCACCACACTCAGCAAATACCCCATGAATAATAACCTTTTACGCAACACTGTTGGCAACAATGCCCCTAACAGCAATGCTAACCTTGAGACTAATAACTATAATAATGGCTAATTCTTGTCAAAAGGTTCTTGTGTGCCAGGAATTGTGACAGGTCTTCATTTGTATTATCTTATATTAATTTTACCCTAAACCCTGTGAGTTATTATACTTATTTTTACAGAGAGCCACCATGCATTCAGACAGGGAGTCATTTGCCCAAGATAATCTGGCCATTATGCATGGCAAAGTCAAGGCTCAAACCCAAGACTGAGTATAAATTCCAAGTTCCTACCCACGAGGCAACGCTGTAGACCATCCAGATAAAGCCTCTAATCTCAGGACAGGAAGGGGCGTTAATGACCTCTAGCCTAACAGTCTAACTTAATGCTTGATTAGTTATTTCCCCTCTATATCAACTTGGAAATGTCCATATATAGGTTGAAATATATATTTCTTTGTATTAACAATAGCACATCCTGTTATGTGTCCATAGAAGGTTTAATTCCAGGATTGGGACTAACTTAGAGCAGTGGTTAATAGTACGGAGATTGATGAGTGACAGCTCTCTGTTTTGTGTGATACAGGACAAGCCATGTTACCTCTCTAGGCATTAATGTCCCATTCGTAGAATGGAAAAAACACACATAGCAGGCAGGATTGTCCTGATAATCAAATGAGGTAATTCAGCAAGAACTCAAGTAAATCACAGGACTTCTCTGGGTCCAGTCACATCTCTCACAGGGCATCAGAGGAGATGCAATCCATGATCCAGAGAAACACTCACAAAAAATTCTCTTTTCCTCAATTCCAATTTTTATAACATATATCTCACCTCTAAGTCTCTCTTTTTTGGTATCCTACCCCATCTCCAAATTTTCCCTAATATTCCGAAGGATAAGTACATTCCATCCATCTCTCTATACTTTCACCTCCATATACTACTCTCTCAACCTGCCACAAGTTTGTCAATTCTATGTCACAAAAACACCAGAACTGAACCTAGAAAAATAAAATCAAATTATCATAAAATTTTGTGAAGGGAGAAAAGAGAGTACAGATACAATTATCTTTATGGATTGAGAGAACATGGATAAGGCTTGGAATACACACTCGTGCATAAGTTTGCCCCATTACCCTTGTAATGTGTTCAGCATTATTTCTGGTGCATAGTACATTCCCAATAAATAGAGGCAGCTATTCTTGTATTTTTATTTTGGCAATAATAATGGTGATGATGTTCTTTATTATTTTCAAAGGACAAGGCACATAAGAGGCACCACATAAAATGTAGCCATTATTGTTCATTGATATTATTGATAGATATTATTCATTGTTGATATTATTCCACACTGAAAGTTTTAGGAATCTCAAAAGGTTTGTTACTGAGTTTCATTTCTAGGTCTACCATCCAACCCTTCCTTAACTCTTACCCATTATAACAGTCCTTCTTTACTCTTTTCTCCCTATCTGCAGGTTATAACTGTCAGCACCGGACCCCTACCACCAGCAGTGAGTGTTCAAAACGGTGAAACTCCATTGCCCACTGGACCCTTACTCCCCAGAGTGCATTCTTCAGGAGAGAAGGCACCAATGCCCCCTTCCTAAGTGCCAGCCAAAGCCTCAGAGTAGCCCCTAATCCACTCAAGGTCTTGCTCTAAGTTAAAATAGAAGCCAAAATTTCAAGAAATAGCTTCTGCGCCACATTGCTTCAGGATGGGACTCAATTGTTTTTCCTATGTTCTTTTTTCTCAACTCCAGTGACTTCTATATTCTGTCCAGAATCTTCCACATCTCTGTCCCTCATCCTTAGCTCCATAGGTAAGAACCTGTTTTCTGGGACCTATGAAACTTCAACCTGCATGGTCTGGTCCCTGCTAACCACCCAGTCTCAGCCTGTCCCCTCACTCTCGCCCTAACTCTCTAAACTTTGGCCATATCAGACACTTGTCTATTCTAGTGTCCTAACCTCTGTCTGGCCTTTATATTAGCTCTTCCTGGAGATCAGCTATGCCTGGCACCTTACTGCCTTTCAAATCTCAGCTCAATCATCACCTTCTCTGAAAGACTTTCCTAGATCTCCTTATATGAAGTGGCACTTCTGAATACATACCTGGCCCACAGGTTTTCTCTATCATATCATCATTTCTTTCATGGAGCTTACTACTATTTGTTTTATTCGCTCTTTATGTGTTTGTCACCTTGGAGCTGAGTACCTAGACAGCACTCACTTGATATTTATTGCTTGAATGAATTGATGAATGTAACAATCTCTGTGTATGTCCACATTTGTGGATTCTATTTGAACATTCAGAAAATCATTCTGCATCTTAGTCGTGAGTTTGATTCTTGCCCTGTCTCCTCACCTTACTGAGATGGGGGTCTGAGGGCTCCTGAGTCTCCAGGAACCTAATACAGGGGCTTGATTTATGTCATGAAACCTGTCTTACCCTAGCCCTGAAGATTTATTTTAAAAAATAGAGTCTATGGGTCTTTTTCATGCTTATGTCATGATTCAGGTAAGGCATCCCTGACACTTAATCCTACCTTTTGAGTCTGTGGTTATGGCATATAAACTGGTGTCCTGTAATTTGAATTCTGCCTTCAGGCATTCTGTGTTTTGTGAGTCAAGACACTGCAAACTTTTTATGTGCTTTAGACAGGATGCATACTCTCCACTTCCTCATTGCTCCACCCTGATCAACCCAACTATTTATGTAAGATGCCTAGCTCCCGCAAGCTTTTAAATATGTAACATGTGCCATGAACCAAGTCACTCCGTGACTGATGATGTCATTTTTCTCTAGATGCATTCAAGATTTATTCATCTTTGATTTTTAAAAGTTTGATTATGATGTGTCTGAGCATGGTTTTCTTTGAGTTTATATTGTTTTGGATTTTTCTAAGCTTCCTGAATCTGAAAATGTATGTTTTCAAGAAATTTGGGGAAGTTTCAGCTGCTTTTCTTCAACATTTTTCCTGTATTAATCTATTTCTCTCATTCTGGTCTTCCAATGAAATGATAATTCCAGAGTCCCTGAGGCTCTGTTGATTTTTCTATCACTGTTTTTTCTCTTTATTTTTCAGATTTAATAATTTCTTTGTTTTTTTTTTTTTTTTGTGAGGAAGACCAGCCCTGAGCTAACATCATGCCAATCCCCCTCTTTTTGCTGAGGACAACTGGCCCTGAGCTAACATCTGTGCCATCTTCCTCCATTTTATATGGGACGCCGCCACAGCATGGCCTGACAAGCAGTGCGTTGGTGCGCGCCCGGGATCTGAACCCAGGCCGCCAGCAGCGGAGCGCACGCACTTAACCGCTACGCCGCGGGGCTGGCCACAATAATTTCTATTTATATGTCTCCAAAATCACTGACCCATTTTTCTCTATCATCTCTACTCTGCCCGTCAAGTGAATTTTTTATCTCAGATACTGTATGTTTCCATTCTACAACTTCCATTTGATTCTTCTTTTTTATGGTTTCTATTTCTCTACAGAGAACTGCTATCTTTACAGTTATTTCAAATGTGCTATCTTTACATTTATTTCAAGTGTGTTTACCTTCACCTCATGAAGCATAGTTATAATAGCTGCTTTAAAGTTTGTGCCTAATAATTCCAACAGCTGGGTCACCTTGGAGTTTGCATCTTTAAATTGTCTTTCCCTTGAGGATTGGATATATTTTATTTTCTGGTTCTTTGTATGTCAAGTAATTTTGGTATACTATAGTATAATAGTAGTTACTATATTCTAGCTAATATTAGTTAGTAATTCACTAACATTGTGCGTGTTATGTTTGCATAGACTCTGGGTCCAGTTATCCTCTTGGGAATGTTTATTTTATTTCTTGTTTTTGTTTATTTTAGCAGGTAATCAGCTCTCTCCTCTCTTGCCCACAGGAGCCCCATTTTCTTAATTCCATTTCATCAGAAATATGGGATTTCTATTGTAAATTTATCTACCTATGCCCTCACTCCCTCACACATAGCTCCATGACTAGGATGTGCCCTCAATAAATCTTATTAAGAGGAAAGAGTTAAAAAAATGAGTAAAACTTTTTTTTTAAATGTTTTATGTATATTATTGATTTTTTTTTAATTTTTGATTGTGGCAAAATACATATAAAATTAACCATTTTTAAGTGTACAGTTCAGTAAGATTTAAGTATATTCACATTGTTGTGCAACCAATCTCCATAACCTTTTAATCTTGCAGAAGTGAAACTGTATACCCATTAAAAAATAATCTCCATTTCTCCTTCCCTGCAGCCCCTGACAACCACCATTCTACTTTCTGTCTCTATCAATTTGGCTACTCTAGGTACCTCACATAATACTGTATGTGGACTCATACAATATTTGTCTTTTCATGATTGGCTTATTTCACTTAGTATAATGTCCTCAAGGTTCATCCATGTTGTAGCATGTGTCAGAATTCACTTCCTTTTTAGGGCTAAATAGTATTTCATTGTATGGGTACACCACATTTTGTTTATCTGTTCATCTGTGGATGGACACTTGGTTTGCCTCCATCTTTTGGATATTGTGAGTAATGCTGCTATGAACATGGGCATACAAATGGAAAGATACCTGTTTTTGAGCCAAAGAGATATTGTATCTCTGCCATTTCTTTGTTGTTGGGACTTGGGCAAAATTGACTTTCTCTGAACCTCAGTTCCTCCATCTGTAAAATGGAACTGGTAATACTCTCCTCTCAGGACTGTGTTGAGGGTGAGCTGGGTGCTGCAGGTGAAGTCCCAGCCCACAGGCTAGCACGCAGTCAGTGCCCACAGAGGAGGTGTGTGGAGGAGCGTTCATGAAGTCCCAGCACACGGGCTGGCACGCAGTCGGTGCCCACAGAGATGTGTGGAGGAGCATTCATGAAGTCCCAGCACACAGGCTGGCACGCAGTCCATGCCCACAGAGATGTGTGGAGGTGCAGTCATGAAGTCCCAGCACACAGGCTGGCACACAGTCAGTGCTCACAGAGGAGATGTGTGGAGGAGCATTCATGAAGTCCCAGCACACAGGCTGGCA